GTATATAATGTATATATATGTATATATAGATATATATATTATATATATATATCTTTTTATCTATTTACTTTATATTCATATAACTAATATATAAGACAAAATTATATATGTAGTTGTATGTGCATTGTATATATATATATATACATAACCCTAGACGCAATAAACTTTAAACCTTAAGAAAGACAAAACCCTAGAACCTACAGGAAACGCTAAACCCTAAACCCTAAACCCTAAACAGCATTTTAAAGCGGTTTACTATTGATTGTATTATTACTATCAAACCCCAGTAAACCCTAAACCCTAAACCCTAAACCCTAAACCCTAATTGATATGATTGTTGTTAACATAATTAATGCCTCTGTTCATTGGATATGAAGAAAGAAAAGAGGGTTTTAATAAATGTCTCCATCTGCTGCTTGTTATCTGCTGCTGCTGCTGCAGCTACAACACCAGCTGCTGCTACTGCTGCTAAATCTGCAGCAGCAGCAGCAGCAGATCCAGCAGCAGCAGCAGCTACACCAGCCGCTCCTGCATCTGCAGCAGTAGCAACTCAGAACCATCAGCTTCTGCAGCAACAACTGCTGCTTCACCACCATCACCCACTGCAGCAGCAACTGCAGCAGCAACTGCAGCAACAACTGCATCAACAACTGCAGCAACAACTGCAGCAGAGACTGCAGCAGGACCTGCAGCAGCAACTGCAGCAGGACCTGCAGCAGGAACTGCAGCAGGACCTGCAGCAGGAACTGCAGCAGCGACTGCAGCAGCAGATACCGATTTATTTCCAGACTTTGCTGTCTGCAATAGGTTTTGCGTTAACTTGATCATCATTACAGAAGTAGTCTTCAATAAGTTTTTTATGCTCTTTGTTTTGAAGAGGGTTTAGCCTAGTCCATTTGTTATACTCAAAAGAGGGATGATCGCACATCTGCTTCGGGATGTCTGTACACCTGAAGAACCAGACGCCTTCAATATCTAGAGAAGGTTCTTTACCGACGACATCAATAACAGCAAATGAGTCTTTACGCATGCTATTATCTACCCTTTGAAGAAAGCCTCCTAGCTGATTTGAAGTTAAATATGTTACAGTGCACTCGCCCTCTATCTTCTCATACTCCATCAAGAAGAAGCTGCAGTGCTCATCGACATGATCCCACAGCCACTTCATAGCTACCCCTCTTAAGTCTTGTGTGTTTGAATAAACCTTCTTCCATTCGTTCATATCAAGTGAGCTCTCTACTACTTGTGCTGCTGCTGCTTGCTGCTGCTGCTGCTGCTGCTGTTGCTGTTGTTGCTGTTGTGCTGCTGCTCCAGGTGTTCCTGCTGGTTTTGGAGCCGTCTTGCTGCTGCTGCTGCAGCTGCTGCTGCTGCTGAAAGAGCAGGAAGCTGACATCTTCTTAAACTGCTGCTGATTTGTTATTAGCTGCAACCAGCGAGAGAGATGAGAGTACGGCTTAATGCAACCCTCTCCTAAGAGGTGCTGTGCATACACTACAGCAGCAGCAAAACATATATCTGCTGATGTTATCCTCTCTCCAACAAGGTATGTTCGATGATGCATATGTTTATCTGCAGCAGAAAGAGCTGCTTCTACATCCTTCTGCACTTGTTTCTTCAGCTCTGCTGCTGTTGCTGCTGCTGCTGCAGCAAGAGACACCAGCGGTATCTCCAAACGCAGCTGCACCAAGTCAAGCCACACATCTACTTCTGCTGCTTGCTGCAGAGTCTCGCCGTAGAGAGATAACTCTTGATGAAGACGAGAAAGATGTCTGACTATTGCTCCGCTGCCTAATATACAAAAACCTCTATCTGTGTTCAATGCTGGAAGCTGCAGCACCTTCTCACAGCAAGGAATGCTGAAGTTCCCATCCTTATCTGCATTCAGACAAACAAAATAATAAATAAATATATATTTATTTATAAATATATACACATATATATATCATATTTGCTGTTAAACAGAAGTCATTCACTTGCTACACAAGCAAACACAACAGCAGCAGCAGCAGCAGGTTGAAAGGAAAGAGTAGCAATGACAACAGCAGCAGCAGCATCAGAAGCAGCAAATATAGCACCAGCAGCATCAGAAGCAGCAAATACAGCAGCAGCAGCACCAGAAGCAACGAATACAGCAAATGCAGCAACAGAAGCAGCAAATACAGCAGCAACAGCAAACACAGCACCACCACCAAATACAGCAGCAGCAGCAAACAGGGCAGCACCACCAAATGCAGCAGCAGCAGCAGCAGCAGCAAGTAGACATGCTACCAGCTTGAACTTCTTGTGTTTCTATCGGGACATTCGCAAAGGCAGCGACGAGCTTGACTTTGCAGGCGTGGAAGTCTTTGGGTTTGCAGAAGAGTTTCTGAAAAAAAGCAGGAAAAAGGCGCAGTTTAAGTCATGATACACCGAAAAAGAAAAAGAAAAAGACAAGAAATAGACAAGACGAGAAACTACGGTGTATATGCAGCTGCTGTGGGCAGTACAGCAGTTTTTAGTGTCTTCGATGCAAAAAAAGAGGGCAGATATGAAAGAAATAGATGAAAGTAACGAATTTAATGAAGTTTAAAACAAAAAGAAAGAGAAACAACCTCAAACACAACATTAATATAACCCAACCGAGCTGCCTGTACACCGCAGCAGCAAAACGAGGGAAACCTACCATTTTGTATCTCAGCAGATGAAAAGAAAGCAGTGGGAAGAAGAAAATAAATAAATAAATAAATAAATAAAACAAACAAACAAATAATAAATAAACAATGAGATAAACAACGAGCAAAAACAAATATTTCCTGTTCTTCTTCTCACCCCAACGTGGGGGTTTGATGAGTCAGCCCCAGCAGCTCTTGGAGGCAAGATTGAGACAGGTTTGAGAGAGACAACGCAATAAAAACGTTTTTAAGCATTTAAATTATATTTTAATTATATTTTATTGATTAAATTCAAAAAAAAAGAAACTTTTTCGCGCAAAAACCGTCAAAATCGCCCCACAGTTACTCTATTTGCTGTGAAGCAGTTTAAACCCTTGTTTGTTCTTCTTTATCTTTTTCTTCTTCTTTATTTTTATTACTAATCATTATTATTATTATATTATTATTTATTATTATTATTATTAATCTTCATTATTTATTCTCTTTCTTCTTTATTTTTATTATTATTTTCTATTGTTTACTATCACTATTGTTTATTTTTCTTGTTTATTATTTTTGTCTTTGTATTCTTATTCTTGTTTGTTGTGGCTGATATTATTCTTCATCTTTTTATTCTTCTTTGTTTTTTGTTTGTATTCTT